GCCACCATTATCACTATCCATCAAAAGAAAAATTAGAAATAAATATGTTTTACTTTTTTATAATGTAATTGTATAATACATAAAAACAAATATTTAAATTTAGTTTGTTATTGATTATATAAATTTATGTAAAAAGACTAAAATTAATGTAATAAGAACAACTATGTATGGTAATAATATTTTTTATTTATTTTGTTTTTAATAATAAAATCATTTCTATACTATCATTCCCAAGTTTAGAGCGACGATCAGAAAGTATAAGTTTCGCCTTACTAAATAATCCCTCAACACTAGCACTTGAGGACCAAGCAGTATATAATTTTATATACATATTTTTAATATAAGAAAAATACTCATTTGAGTATTTTTAGATTTAAAAAACGCGTCTTCGGGATTTTCTATTATATTAATATCCTTTATTTCAAAAAAAATATCATTGCATGTCGTTTTTGTGGTTCTAATTATTAGTGTCTGGGAAAAAAAATTGTTGTACTAGGGGATAGAGTTTTAATCCATGGTAAATGATAGATATGAGGTGAGGATTATCAACCAATGACATTGGCTGAACTGTATCAATTATAAAATCGACAATGACTTTATCAGCCAGTTTCTGAAAAATATTCACATGTGCAATATCAATGTTTGAATTAAATTGGTCTTTTTAGATGTAGTCTTCCTTATATCAAAATTATTTAGATGTTTTTTTATCGCTTTAAACTGTTGCCATGAACATTCTTATAAAATAAAAGTACTATTAGAATATAAAAGTTATAATTACCTTTAGGTATTTTTTGAGGTTATAGCTACTAGATTTATTTGAAGATATTTTTACATTTTAAACAAATAGATTTGTAGCCACCTTTTGATTTTACAAGTATTTTTCAAATTTTGGAAATGGAAAATTTGTATTATTGTTATCAAGAACCCTTTCTTCCAGGTCACTTCCATTTATTAATATTATCATTTGACTCGCATTGATTTCAATATCCATTTGCGATGAAATCTTAAATATTTTACACCAGATGATTTAGGTTTGTAATTCAATTTGAATATATAAATTTTAATTTCAAAATTAAATAATAAATCATAAAAATTATAATTATTTATGATATTAAATTTAAATTTTTATGTTTATAGTTACTACATTATATTTTTTCGCTACTTATCTACATTCAAAAAATATAGCGTGCTAAAAAAATAAATAATTGGGGAAAAAGTAGCACGCTATTAGCTGATAGGCGCTATTTTAACAACTGATTAATAAAAAATTTTTATTATAAAATAATAACCCAGATAGTATATATGCTTATCATCAAGACTACACACAAAAAGAAAGGATGCAAATTAATCATTTTATTTTACTTAAGAATATAAACTTTTTTGGGAGGTCATGCATATGTTTTTTAGATTTTATTAGATAATATCAAAGGTTTATAATGATAAAGTAACAAGCAGGGCCTGCTCTGGCTAATCTGGCCCTCTATCCAAAAAGCGCACAATAATCTCCCCCTTAATAAAAAAATATAGCTAATTTTCTAAATTTCATTTAAGTTTTTAAGAATTCAATCCTTCTTTTAAAACTGCATTTTCAATAAGATATGTTTTCAATTAGAAAAACTTCTTTTCATTCTGACCACTGAAACAGGAATAATAATCATAACTTAATCTACTGTAACTCTTAGGCCCAGATCATCTTATAAAATTTTAAATTTCGCTGGACCACATATTTATATAAAAAAATCTGATAAATTAACTAGTTCATCCGCTAAATCATTTTCTATAATGCCCTTTTCGCCAGTGTTTTCCGTTAAATTATAATTATTTCAAATTCCCGTGATTTTTCTTTACATAAACATTAATTTGCTTATTTGAATGGAGAATAAAAAAAATTTCAAAACGTGATTTGAATCTGTCCTGAACTTTTTGCTGCATCCTTGAAAGATGATAGGTCTTTACTCTAAATATTTCTCTGGAACGAATAAAAGGACCATCCATGATAACATTCGTATTCGAACATTCTTTTTCGAATTGTTGAGCTTTTTGGACATTTTAACTCGAGGTCAATTTCAATAGCAAAATTAGTAGTCTCTTTAATTTCTCAAATGATTGATCACTTCTTTTTGATTTATAAAAATTAAAAACATTTCCTTTACGTAATCAGCTATTTGTTTGCGGTTTAACATTAACTTGGTTACGAAATTTATTTTATCATATATTTTTACTACATTAATATTGGGCAAATAAATTTAGATTTTTATATTTTTATTAGTCCTTAGCTTCAACAATATTTTAGTTGAATACTTGGTTGTTTGTTTGTATTTTCGTCATCTTAAAACAATCATATTTTTTTAAAATTGTAACAAATTGGTTTAATATCTTATATGATTGCATTTGAATTATGTTATCTTTTGATATTTATTTTTTTTATCTTAAAATAAAGCTGTAAAAAATGTAGATTTTTTTAGGAAAAATTACGCAATTGGCATATCCAGAATAGATAAATTTTAAGTATGGTGTAGCAAGAGATATAAAAGCTCTGTTGTTCATAAGCAAGATATTTTTTGAGTCCATTCTATTTTCCGCTTATGTAGTTCCAGGCGCGTACGCAGGAATTTGGTCGGGGGGGGGGATAATAATTTTTCTAAGAAATATTATTGTTTTTTAAATTATCAAGCATAAATTTATCAGGACTAATAACTATTCCTAATACACAATTTTAAATTAATGTGAATTATAAAAAAATTATATGTAACGAATCACTTAAATGACCCAAAATAGAAATTTGAATTTTTTGAACTTTACACAAAAGGTTACTTAGGAATAATTGTATTTTGTATGTTATATATTTACAATGTAAAATCCAATCTTCGTTGGGATTGAGCTAATTTTTCAATTATCTCATCTTTGCTTGTCGTCAAATGCCTATGAATATTCAAAAGATCCAAACCTTTCAATCTACTTTCACATGTTGTACTTCTTGGTATGTTTTTCAGAGACCTACAGGCCCGGCCCCTGGGCCGGACATTATTTTAATTTTTTAAATATACCCGGGCCGGGCCAGAAATTTTTTAAAAATACACCCAAGTCGGGCCTGAATTATTTTTAAAAAAACACCCAGGCCGAGCTCTATTTTTTAAAACAGCCTATATTTGAAATCGTTATTATTAGAAATCAAAAATAAATATAATTTATTTTAAAAAAATCCGTGCCGGGCCTGAAAATTTTATTTAAAAAAAGCCGGGCCGAGCCTGAAAATTTAAAAAAAAAGCCGAGCCGGGCCTAAAAATTTTTTTAAAAAAAGTCGGGCCGGATCTGAAATTTTTAAAAAAAAACCCAGGTCGGGCCGTAAAAAATCTTTAAAAAAAATCCGAGCCGTGCCCTGCAAATGGTACTTTTGCAGGCCTCTGTTATTTTTCTTAAAAAAGAGAGTGTTACTCTTTTAATACATTAGGAATTTAATCTAAAATGTGTTTGAAATAATGCAGAGCATCCATAGCATTTTTTGGGACTATATCAACTATAGATAATCTTATAAACATAGTTATTCAGCTAGTAAGGCATCATAAGATACTTTAACATCTTCATAATAAAAATCAAACAAATATTATTTTTTTCTATCACCATCTGAAAAAGGTTGGGGAAGGCTTTTGTGGAAGTAATATTTGCAGATGTAAGTGCTGCATGATGAATTAAAAATTCATTTATTTGGGTTATAAATGTATCTGTATTTAAGACATACTCTTCTACTGATTCTATATTAATGTTTTAACGATGAGCTTGCCTTGTTACAAGAGGGAGACAAATATTAAACACGTATAGCTCTACTTTTGACTCAACAATAAATATATAATATGAAATTCTTCATCAACATTAGCCCTAATTTCCTTGAGTTCTGATAAAATGCTCTCCGCTATTCTCACCTTCTTAATCAAATCAATGCCATATTTTTGAAAAATAATACTTAAAATAGTTGTATAATTAAATAATACATTCTAATGAGAAATAAAATTTGGAATAAGCATTGAATCCATCCAATAATTTTCTTGCTTCTGAGGAAATATTTCTTTCAGGCCATTGTGATATTTCAGTAATAGCAAATAATTGGCTCTTCTAACTCCTTAATAGCTGTTAGTGCTTGATGGAAGAGGCTCTATCTCGTTGGACAAGGTTGCAATTTCTTTTTCCCTGTTGGACCAGAAGTTTCAGAAATAATTATTATTTGACTAGAAATTTGAAAATGGTAGATAAATATTACGCCACTAAAAATTTGAAAATAATAAGTAAATATTACGCCGGAAAACTTGAAATCGAAATTATTTGATAAAATAACTTATGAATGTGATAATGAATGTAATAAAATATATATTTAATATGAGATACGAATAAATATTAACAAATATAAATTAATATAAACAATAATATTTTTGAAAGATATATCCGGCACCTGTATTTTATGACTTGGGGGGGGGGGGATTTGTCCCCCTGCCCCCCCCCCCGCTGCGTACGCCAATGTGTAGTTCTATTAACATGTATTTTTTTATATCAAATTCGTAAATTTCAAAAACATATTTAAAGTTTTTCCGTCATTACCTCTTTCAAACAGGTTTATATTAAAAATTCTCTCTTATGTCTTCTAGACCTCCATTTTCCACATCCACAAATCAAAATACTACTGGTACAATGTAAAAATGTTTAGCATTTTTAAGCGCATACTAATAGCCATGAAGAAATTATTTTAATAATAATAAAAATTACCTTTATATCTCCTAAGAACTATATTTTGGTAAGCCGTACATGCGTAAATGGTAGAACCGGCCCTCGCAGCAATATTTTTTTAAAAAATGTTGTTATACGAGCGCCGTGTATTTATTGACTCATAATCCTATCACCATTAAAGTAAATAAGGAAATTTCATTATTAGATTATCAATGAATATTTACTCACTTTTACCTGTCTAAAGTATATATGTGTTGTGAATTTCATGTATCTTTTTTTTACAGGATCAAAAGGATGGCAGGCATGAAGGATTCTCAGATCAGTGCCGAGATTGAGTTGCTGCAAACTAACGACAAGAAAAAATGGACCCGCCCTCCTATCTCCGTGAATTTCGAGGTTTTTTTTAAATCACAATTTTTTCCTCTTCCATCCACTATTCTTTTTTCTTACTATTTTTATAAGTATTTTTTTAAAATTGTCCCAAAATTTGTTTATTGCGCATAATATTTTCTATGCACACTGAGAATCGAGAAATTGGAGAATTACAATTTTTTTTTTACCAACCAAAGATTTGATAAATTCAGAATTTTTTTCAAAAAATACATATTTTTTTACCAGTATATAAACATATATAATAAGTTCAAAAAAAATTTTATGATTTTTTTTAATGTCCGAAAATCAAATATTGGAAAGTTAGGACATCTTTGCAAAATAATCTAGACCCTTTTATATGAATTAATACATAAATTTATTGCATAGATATGTTTTATTTGCAACGATCTTGATGAATGTGTCTAGACATTTATTTTTATTTCTTGAATTGGTCATCATAATAGGTTAGGCGGGTAATATATTCTTAAATAACAATCATTGATATACTATATGGGTTGAAAAGAAGGTGAAACATATATCCACCAGGTAGAGATGTGAAACTACGCCCACTAAATTAGGAAATATGTACTACTTTTTTTTTGCGTAGTCAAGAATACTCAAACCCTATCTAGTAAATTAGCTATTTCCATAAATTGTTTATAAGAAACTTTCATATTTAGTTAACTATTAATATAAGCTTTAGGTTGAGAGCCCTATCCTCTAACACTATCCGGTGGTAACTAGTGAATATATTTCTTGATAATAGCTGACTATGGCTATAGGGTAACTGCCATTCCAAATTTTACAAAACTCTTTTCATTCCTGAAGGTTTCAAAGATCTTCAGGGATTTTCTTCTTGTTCAAGGATATTTTCACATTTAATTTACCTAAGTGTTATACAGAGTGAAAAAGATTTTCATCCATTTTTTAGATGAAATTTAAATCTACATTTTATCATTATACCAATTTCAAGATAAATTTTCAAAAAATTTGTCTACATCAGTTTCTAAATTAGATAATTTTATGTTAAATACAAAAGAAATTTAAGAAATGCAAAAAAATTTATATTTTAAATATCGTTATTTACTAATTCTTGAAAATTCGTATTTATTTTTTCAACAGATATTTTTTTGAAACTAAATTTTAATTTAAATTAATATTTTTGTATTATTTATGTCCTTAAAAAAGAAAGAAAGAAATATTTATTAAACTTCTATAAAGATGTAAGATGGTAAACATTTTTACAGATGCACTAATACATTAATTTTTTTTAAATGAAAAATTATCGTTTATTTTTTAAAAAATGCTATTTTCGACAAAAATATTTTTTGATTAACTTAATCCATAAAAGCTTTTCAATGTTAAAGAAACTTCGTAATTGATTTTATTGTATGTTTAATGATGAAATTAATTACGTAACAAAATTTAAAAAAACTCTTTTCTGTTTAGGAATTTGTAGATCAATTTTTTATCCGAAATTCGATTATTATTATACACCATTTTTTTAAAAATTTTTGAGGGTTCGTACATCTCTTTTACATTTTGAAACTAGGACCTCGTATTACTCTTCTAAAATTAAAATTTATAAAACAGAACCTATTTTAAAAGTTTTAATCTTGAAAAATATTAAGATGTTTTAAGAAAACTTGTTGTTAATAGGAATTATAACATATTCATAACTAATTTATTGTATTTTCTTGTGTTTACGTAAATATATCATAATTATTTACATCGAAGGTCCCCTTTGCCCCATCCGGTCTTAAGGTAAGGTACCTAAAAGTTTTTGAGCCCAAGTTGAATTATAGCGATCACGACACGGTCAAATGGGTCCGCTACATAGGCCGGAGTGGTCTTTACGAGACTCGATGTTGATATTACATCACTGCCAGAGGAAAATGGAATCAATTTTTTTTAAATCTAACCTTGTTTGGTGAATTTACTTAACTTGTTATGTTACATGTTTGCAATGTAAGTATTAACAACCTTATTGTGTTATTATATTTTTCTTAAAAGAAGGGGGAAAGTAAATATATCTTTCTATTTTAGAAATAGAAGGAAATAGGAAAGTTAAATAAAATTAAGTTAAATGATGGAAATTTCATGAGTAATTATTTTATTATTTTAATGGTATATAATTTTTTTGAAAAACGGGCAAGTAAATGGGAGCAATAAAAGAAAGGTAGAAAATTTTTATACACTTACACATTTAGGCTGCATTCATAGTGGCATTCTAGGCACGATTTAACAGTTGATTGATTTTAAAAATCTGTTTATGAGTTCAATTTTTCTTTATTAATATTTTAGCTTTAATTTTGTTCATGATGATAATCTAAAAAAAATTATGGATTTTAATAAAGAAAAATTGATCTCAAACAGATTTAAAAATCGATCAGCTGGTGCCGGATCGGATCCCACTAAGAATGCAACCTTATTTGGAGAGAATAAGAGTTCTTAATAAAATACTTTACATTTTAAAGATTTACGTAATTATATTATTTATATTTTTTTAAATACAGGCTACAACTTTGTGCTTTTTATATTATGTCTTGCCACAAATCTAGATAAATTCATTCACGACTAAAAAACATTATTTTTCTTATAGCGTTATTATTTTTGTGTTGACATCCCCCCCCCCCCCCCACCACCCAATTATTTTGCAAATAAAAAATCTTTTGTTTTTCTTACGTTTTATTAACGAGTAATTTCTTTATTATTCAATTTCTTCTCTCGACTTTTCAAAAATATCGCTATTTATATGAGCCTGGTAAAAATTGTAATGATATAAATTTGACGATTTCAACTATTCGAAACCATTAAATTCATTATCTCCACCACACCTTTTTTTATTATAGTAAAATATTTCTCTAAATTCTCTTAGTTCATAGTATGTTTGAAATATAAATTTTCTTCACAAAATAAGATTATATTGCCCCTTGCCTAAATTCGATACAAGTTAAATTATATGTGATAACTTATTTAATTTTAATATTTGGTTGCACATAAATCTTTGTTTTCTTTTTTGTAATAGGCAATTATTTTAATTATAAATACATTAAAAATAATGCATTGAAATTTGTTAATTTCTAAAATTATTTTCATTTATTTTAATCTCGCCAATCGCCCTATTTAAAAAAAAACTTAATTTGTTAAGTTAAAAAAATTTATTATATAATTTAAAATTTTAATAATATAAATTATTAAAATTATTTATGAATATTATTTGTTAAATATTTTTATATCAAATTTGTTGTTATTTATTATACATTCAATTATATTTTTTTTTACTAAATAACACACTTTAACCCTCTTAGTTATGGATGCTCTTAGTTATGGATGCATGTTCAAAATTTTCCTAAAATATACAATATAACCAGGGTTGGGCAAATTTTATAAAAAAAAGTATTGGAATATAAATACAAATATACTTCAAAAAAAATATTTGATATATATAAAATTTATAAATTTTCGAAAATTATGAAACATGTTAGAAATCTTCCATTAATTTTTTTAAAAGTTTTGTAAAATTTAAAATAAAAAGAAAAAAAACAAGAATAAATTACGAAAAATAACAATGCCACCAATTACTTTAATATTACTTATTAGTTTTTTTTTAAAATTACACAAATTTATAAATTATATGTAAAATTTAATTAAAATTTATTATAAATCAAATCATGGATTAATGAACTTGGTAAATTTTTTAATGTAAAAAAAGTACTATATAATAATATATTGTAAAATTCATAATTTAAGGTAATACAATATAGTTATTATTATAACATTACTATTAAAAGCAAAAGAAATATTTATTTAATGCATTATAATTACGAAAATAATGAAATCAAAAAATTATTTAAAAAAAATATAAATTAAAAAATTAAGAGAGAAAAGGAAAAGGAAAAGAAATAATGATTATTATTAATTATTAATTTACGGGAAAATTAATTTAATTCATACAGAAATTTATAATTGAGAAAGGAAAAAAAATTTTATATATCAGAATCGCGAATGTATGAGGAAAAAAAGGTACATATATTTCTTAATTTGAGAACGAAGATAAAAAATTCTAAATATTTAAGGGAAGAGGAAAAAATTCTAAATTATACCGGCTGCTTGGGGGAACCCATGAAACATTAAATTAGATCTTATAATCTGCATTTCTATGCGTTGACGTAAGTAGACGCCTTTTTTGGGTCTCCTAATTTAATTTTTAAGGCTCTGCCAAGCTTTTTAATTAGGTTAAGAGCCTGCCTTCAAAAGATATTAAGTTTGTAGTGACAACTGGTACTAATTTATATTCATCAGGGATATCCACATATTTGTTCGTTATAAAATCTTCTGTGTATTTTAAAATGTCCTTATTGTTGTTGGAGGGGGTCAACGCAGGAGAAATCTTATGTTAGAAATCCTTCATTCTCCCAAGGAATTTGTGTAATTCCATCGGATCGTCTCCCATCAGTAAAGGACGGTTCTAAAGTGGGAGGAAAGCCAGCGGACTGTAAAGCCCGTTTTATGAGAGCATTGCATCTGTTATGACGGATTGAAAGACCACGGTTAATGATGCATTAATAGCAAAGACGGCCAGTTTGACTTACTGATTTCTTGCACTCATATGAGACTGAGGCTGTCACATTTAAGTGAATGGCTACTGCAAAGGTGAATTCTTCATTTGATAGCTCGAGGTCAAGATCTTTAGAGGAATTAAGAAGAAAGATATTTATGTGTGGGAAGCTGTATGATTGGCTCCTCCATTTTGTTTAAATTATTAGAAGTAGCTTGGAAAGAGACTTCAACCGCTAAGTAACCTCCAAGGTGAACCAAGATGTGTTAGTTCTTCAGCAATAACCTCTTTAAAGGTGTGGCACTTGGGAGATTGAAAAGTAAGATGACAGAATTCTGTTTTATCGGCATTTAGGGGAAAGTCTATGTCTAGCTCATCCATTTGTAAAATTACTAAGACTTTGGCGATCTCTTCTGAACTAACGCTTATAATCCCGTCATCTATGTACCAGAGATGAAGATTTAACAGGCAGCGGCTTTTAATTTTTTAAACTAGAATGTCAGAATAAGATGGCCTAGGGGATCATCCTGTTAAATTCTTCCTGAAGAAGAAAGCCTATATTCACTATTTAGTGTTGTTAAAAAGTCGAGTTCAGAGTCGTTAGTCGAATTAGTCGACTCACTGAAGTCGTGAACTCAAGTAAGTCGTGAAGTCAAGTCGACTCAAGTTGTGAACTCAAGTCGACTCGAATCGTGAACTCCAGTCAACTCGAGTCATGAACTCAAGTCGACTTAAGTTGAGAACATGAGTTTTCCACTTGAGTCGTGAACTTAAGTCGACTAGAGGACGAATATTAAAAGGTGTATAATATTTTTGTTACAAATAATTTAAAATTTTCTTAATTAATTTTTTTGTGAAATTAATCTTTTAGTTGAAATCTTTTATAGGCTTATTTTTATCATTTTTGTAAAATTATCTATTTTTTTTAATATATTAAAAGAACTAGTTAAAAGAAATTATTTTTAAATTTTTATGTTATTTTACATGATCGTCTTATAATATTTTAATGTGACAATTGTCATGTTATTTTTTAACATTTTTGAAATTTTCGGCACAAAAGGGTAAAAATATAATTTATATTATAAATATGTTAAATTATAAATTCAATGATGATGTTCCTTTGTAAAAATGACAAATATAATTTTTATTTTAAAACATTAGTTTATTTTTGACGCTTATGGGTAAATATAGATTGTAAATATGTTAAATTAAAATTTGAGTGAAGATTTCCCCTAGATAAGTGACAATTGTCATGATCGTTATTTTTAAAGTTTAAAAATATATATTGTAAACATGTTAAATTAAAATTTCAAAGAAGATATACTATAGAAAAGTGACAATTGTCATAATCGTTATTTTTAACTTTTTTCAATTTTTTTGAAGCAAATGGGTAAAAATATATATTGTAAACATGTTAAATTAAAATTTCAGTGAAGATGTACCATAGAAAAGTGACAATTGTCATAATCGTTATTTTTGAATTTTTTTAATTTTTTTGAAGCAAATGGGTAAAAATATATATTGTAAACATGTTAAATTAAAATTTCAGTGAAGATGTACCATAGAAAAGTGACAATTGTCATAATCGTCATTTTTAAAGTTTTTTGAATTTTTGGACGTAAATAGGTAAAAATATAGAATGTAAATATGTTAAATTAAAATTTCAGTGAAGATGTACACTAGATAATTGACAATTATCATAATCGTTATTTCTAAAGTTTTTGGAAATTTTTTGACGCACATAGGTAAAAATATAGATTGTAAATACTTTTAATTAAAAACTCAGTGAAGATGTACCATAGATTATAATCGTCATTTTTAAAGTTTTTTGATTTTTTGACGGAAATAGGTAAAAATATATAGTGTAAATATGTTAAATTGATATTTCAGTGAAAATGTACCTTAGATAAGTGAATCATAATCGTTATTTCTAAAGTTGTTTGAATTTTTTTGTAAATAGGTAAAAATATATACTGTAAATATGTTATTTTAAAATATCAGTAAAAATTACTAGACATCCTATAGATTTTATTTTAAGATTTCGAATTCTATAAACATGATTTATCCCCCAAAACCGGGGAAAATTGGCATTTTATTACCATGTCATCAGGAAAGAAATAAATATATAAAATTACTATGATAATATCTAATCTTAATATACAAATTATTTTTTTTGTCTATTTTCATCAGACAATCTTGTTTAAATTACGGCTAAACATTTTTTCTATATTAAAATCAGAGACCTGCAGACCAGGCCCTAAACCCGGCCCGGGCCGGGCCGTATTTTAAATTTTTTAAATATACCCGGGCCGGGCCTAAAAAATTTTTTTTAAAATATATCCGGGCCGGGCCTAAGTTTGTCAAACCCGGGCCAGGCCTTAATATTTTTTATAAAAATTTTACATTATGAGTTAATGGTTATAAGATTATATTATATTATAGTTATGATTAATATAATATTGGGTTATGGTTAACACTACCTAACACCCACAGATCGATCTAATTATTAATTTCCTGCAAATTTATTGAAAGTATTAATATATTTTTTTATAATTCATATCTAAATTTTTACAACATTTTTTTCCAAAACAATCAAATAAAGGAATATCTCAAATAAGCCCCAATATTCAAGTATTATTAATATATTTTTTTATAATTCATATTTAAATTTTTAGAATATATTTTACCAAAACAATCAAATAAAGGAATATCACTTCTTGAAGTTTGTAATACCTTTCAAAGCGAAAAAAATGAAATAAAATTGATTTTACTTAATATAAAGCATTTTTTAATTGAAAAATTTGTTTTACACAAGTATCATTTTATTTCTCTTTTTCTCTATCCCAAATTCAAGCAATTACGTATGTAGTCAGGGACAGATCGCAAGATGACGGAAAACTATATAAGATTATATTAAATTACAAGAGGCTCAGGAAGTAAATGAAATACCATCGACCAGTCAAATTACGACTGTTGTTAAACAAACTGAATCGTTTTATGACAAATGGGGCGATGGTAATTCTGGTAATATGTCAATACCCGATGATGAATATTATAATTACATAAATAAAAAAATAAAAAAATAGATCAAACATTTAAGGTGGATAATTTGTTAGAGTGGTGGGCGGCTCATCAAAGCGAGTTTCCAATTTTAGCAAAATTGGCAATTCCTGCTTCAAGTGCAAGCTGTGAGCGGAATTTTTCCACTACTGGGAGAATTCTTGAAGAAAGAAGAAGTAATCCTCAACCTGAAAAGGTAGATATGCTTCTCTTTCTTCATGATAATTTGTGAATTTTTAATATCTTTCTTGAGTATAGGGTTTCGTCAATCATGCACTTTGCAAACTGTCAAATATTTATTGCATTTATTATATTTACCTCATGAAAGTTTTTAATCCAACATTTTTCATTATTTTTTTTTACAATATTTTATAATACAATTATCTTCTTTTGTTAAAAATTTATATTATAAAATAAATATATTAATATTGTGCAATTAGATTATATTTTCAAAATACTATTTATTTATTATACATGCATTTTTT